TCCTTATTCGAGCTTCTGGTGATTAGCCTATGTACTCGTAGTATGGGGTGACAGGAGAGTGATCATCTTAATTTGTTAAATAATTAGTAGGAAATAAGTTAGTAGGCTAGAATCAAAAGTCACATGTTCCAAAAAATGGTAAAATGAGTTGTCGACACTGTCTAATAGAAATTTTGACGGGGAATTAGAATTTATAATTAGTTTGTTTCAAAACTTACAAGAATCGGTGTAAATACCACTAAAGCGCGATTCACACTAGTACGACACGACACGACAAAATATTATATCCATATAATTGAATACGGTAATTCACACCGATCCGTCAAGCTCCGTAACGACACCACACGACACGACAAGACATTCGAGCAAAGAATATTTTGTTGGTCTGTTGGTCCCTGTCGTAATCAATTTAGTTGAAATATACATATTTTTATGTATTCATAAAATCAAATTATTATATGATTATTATTTTATAATAATAAAACTAATAATAACTCATAAAATATTATTTATCAATAATTTAGTAGGTAATAATTTGTTGAGAAGTTTCAGAGTTCATTGCGCACAAACTCGTCGAACACTTGATTTATATACATAATGATTATATTATATTATACAATAATAATATTATAATTAATAAACATTGTACATAGATACAGTCTTTATATTAGATTCGACTATATAATATGGTTTATATATATAAATTATGGAATGAAAGTATAAATAATATGTTGTTTATATTATTCAAAATAGATAGGCACAAATCATAGTAGGTACAAAAATAATCCCATTTTTAAATAAACCAAACAACTACGGATCATATAAACTGATTACTAATAATATTATTTATTTTTTGTGATTTTTTATGATTTGTGTGCATTTGTAGTGTAAACTGTCAAGACGAATGACGTTTGCAACATTTTATTTATTACAATAAATTACAATTATTATTAAATTACATTTATTACTTTTAATTTAATACAATTAATATAACTAAAATATTAATTAAATTTGAAAAATGAATACGGAAATGTTAATTAAATTGGTCAGTATCAGCTATAAAGTATAAAAATAACATATTACAATTTACCATCATGGTTACATAATATATCACTGATTACTGATTCATGGTATACGATCCTATCACTTATAACTTAACTGAGAACCGACACAATATGAAAACCCAATAATACTATAAATTTAGGAAATAGATATAATTATATTTTTTGTGTGAAATATGTCATATCATTGATTATGGATAGTACTACTACAACTATCCATAATCAATGGTCATATTTATCACTCAATCAATTCTGTGTTGTGGTGATATAATAAATATACAGAGGTATCAAAAATTGTCAGATTGGAAAAACCAATACTTTATAGTTTATACATATTATGCTTGTTTTATATTAAATAAGATATGTTGTGTAATTTGTTAATTTATTTAAGCCTTTATTAGTTATTGATCATGCAAATACATTCATAGGCGGACCCAGAGTTTTACATTTGAGTGTGCTCTGTCCTTTTTTAGTTATTTTTTAAAAATGTAAAAGGGAGGCTATAAAAACGTACGTGTAGACCGTGTTATGATTTAAAATCTAAAACTTAAGACTTCGTTAATGATGTAAAATAATTATTGATAAAAAATATACGTAATTATTATTTCAGACTTATTTTGAACACTTACAGTATCAAGGGCGTATTTGTGTTGTGGCCGGGGGGGGGAGCGAAACTAATTTTTCTTCAATACAAATTTAAAAATAATTTACAGTTCATTACAGTGGCATACCCGGGGGAGGGGGGGATTCGGGTCTGGACCCCCATTGAAATTTCTGCATACTCAATGGTTTAATAGTAAATAGTGTATTTTTATTTCTCATAATCTTCAAATTTTATAGATTATATAATATACCTATAATGTATAAACCATGTTTAAATTATATTGCTTTTTTAATATTTTTTTTTTGTAATGTATATTTTTTATAATATTTTACTACCAAATAAAAATTGATATCAAATTATAGTACCAACCTATTATAGTACACCTTTGTGAAAAATATATGTGATGTGTGTATAACAATTGTGACTATTACTATAATTATTAACAATAATTAGTTGGTATTGAATTAAACTATAATTATAATTGGAAAACAAATAAATAAAAATGTTGAACCTCCGCTAAAAAATTCCTGAGTACGCCTCTGGTTCATTATCTATAGCTCATGTTCCTGTTCATTCGAGTAAATAAATAAAAATACAAGTACTAAATCAAATTAAATATTTATTTAATAAATGTAGTGCAGTAAGTTTGTATTATACAGTGGTATAAAACTGTATTATACAAATGGTATACAATTATTTTATATAGACAGTATCAAAGAAAAAATGAAAGCGTTATTATTAGTAACTTAAATATTAATATTTAGTTGTACTTATAAAATGGATCTCCAATAAAGTAAAGTAATATTATAAACATTAAAAATATACAATATTATTATAATCGTGTTAATTTAGAATTCAGGTGTCAAAAAATGACTAAAATAAGTTTATTGTACTATTATAATATTCAAATATTGTAAATATATAGGTACAATGAGATAGTATATAACTATAAAAGTAGTCTCTTTATTTCTATTTGAAAAATATGTATTTCTATGTATAAAATACATACGTCTGTTACCTATACCATAATTGCAAATCAATAGCATAACTAAATATTAATTTGGTGAATAATTTTTATATTATGTTTTTTTAAATTTTTTCTAACTTTTTAGCCATTTTTTTCAATTATTCCATTTCAAAATAATTTATATTTCATAATTAACAATGGGCTTTGTTAAATTCCTTATAATTTAAGGTAAAGTAAGGTTCTATACGGTATAATGCGGTATTAAACAAAAAATAAATAAAATACCCTATTTTAACATCTCTAAATAAATGTATTTAAAACCTACCGCACATAAAATAAGTATTAATAATAAAAACACAAATAGTTCTTATATTAAAATTGTTCCTTCAGTCTGAATCCTGTATAAAAAAAAAAAACAACAAATTATCATAGTAGTAATAGTACCTATTATTTTTTAAAAAAAACTTTATAAAACAATTAACATAGGTAACTTAATTTAACAAGTATCTAAGTAGAAAACAAAAGGTTGGTAAGTAGTCAAATAACAAATTCCAAATTTCTTTTTTTCATTTTGGCATATTGTCAATTATTATGATTATTATTTGGGTTAGGAAATTCTAGCTCTATAAAATATACAAATATGCATGCATTTGTTCACAAAAAAATGACTAAATATCTATGTACAACAAAAAGTACCAGATGTTATGGTGTAAAAACCAATTAGACGAGTAAAATTATTAAGGACTTATACAGCTCTAATAAATACAAAAATATACAATATGCATAAATGCACCAAAAAAAAATGACAAACTAGTAAATATGTGGTAAAATAAATGTTACTTTACATTATCTCATAAATACATCGGTTATGGTTGTAAATGTCTATAACCATAACAATATCCGTGGAAGATAATACCACTATTCGTTCCACAACCAAAAATGTTAAGATATAAGAAGATAAACAAAAATGATACCTGTGACCTAATTGACAAATTATATTTTTGAATTTATTATCATACTATAGTGATAGACTAGTAATTTATATTCTTAATTAATTATACATTACATTTTTTAAATAAATCTATGTATTATATTCAAAAAAAATACAAGACATGGGGGAACGAATGCCCACTTCACAACCCTTATCAAATCCCCCTTCTGCAGTATTACTCACAAAAAACTAAAATTTAATTAATGTGTATGCACATATATTCTTAACATTAGTTATTCAATTTTCTTATACATATTATTCACATAAGGATGTGCCAAGGCACACCCTGTAGAGCCGCCTATGAATACATATTTATATATTTAATAATTAGTAAATTACAAAATAAATATTTTTTTTTAAAACAATATGTTGTATTTTAATTACTACAGTAAAAGATCAAATTAAACAAATAACATTTTTTCATTTTAAAACAAAGTAAACCAACAATTTCTATGTATTTAGAAAAATAATTCATAAATATGCATATATAAATGTATATGACACAGTATATACTTGGATTTGGAGTATAGAGCTAAGACTAAAGTAGTTAATGATCAATTCACACATTTCTTTTTTTTTTATAACTACATTTTTACAATGTCCCTCTCATTTAATGTTTATTTTCATTAAAAATAAATAATTACAAATCAATCAATGTATACTAAAAAAAAATAATAGAATAGGTAAGTTATTTTAATTGCACAAATTAAGTGACATGACAAATAACTTATATCAGACTGGTATTACAATGTTTTGAGCATCGAGGAAGTGAGTCCTTTTTTTCTGATGCAAGGTTGTATACATTGTGCCTACACGTCTTTCCATTTATAATTATAAGGTATTCTGAGATATATTTTTCGTATAATGTATGATTTGCATTTTATATTAAAACTATCTTGAGCGTGAATAGACCAAATAATGGACATTAATTCAATAATAAATTTCAAAGGCAATACACATTAGTTATCAATAATTTTACTAGAGCATGAACAAATTTCCGTAGTGCAAATTTTTGCAGTATTTGAGTAAGGTCATACCTAATATAAAAATATTAACACTTAACATATCCACAACCCTAGATAAATTAATAAAAATTGAATGAACATTCAACATATTTTACAGTATATGCTCTAGGGTACAACATATTTTTAGGGCTATGGATGTTTTAAAAAATTATTCATTTTTACACTTATTTTTTGAAATTATGTTAATTTTTAATTAATATTTTACGATATAAGAATCTTTTAATATTCCATGAAAATGACACTCATATTAAAAAAAAAAAAATTTATTTGCCAATTTAGATTAATAAAAACTCCATAGCCCTACTTATGGTATGTACCAATAACTTAACCTAATTATTTAAACATACAATTAAGATTAACTATTAATGTGATTATCAACAATTTTTACAAATGTAGAAGTAGTTAGTTGGTCTTGATGTTGTACTATTTTTTTTTTTTTTTTTTAATCAGAATGTAACTAAAAAAAAAAACCATTAAAATATTTATAGAATTGATATATTCTATATAAAAAGAAATGTATACATACTTATTAAGTTATCAGGTGAGATATACTATGCTGAGACTAACCAAAATAACAATTTTTATTTGTTCTTCCAATCTTGTAATAAATATTTGATTTAAAAGTTAGTAGGTACTACTAAATGCAATTGAAATTTGAAAGAAAACAAAATTAATTTCCTAAAAAATAAACAAAAATTATGATGAACATCAAATTATTAATTTTATAAAAAAATTCATACTTACATAATAGCTGGTCAAATTGAGCTGTCTAATCATATAGTTCACTGTATTCATTGATTAATTATATAAATTCTACCAATTGCCACTGAAATACAATAAAATATTTTAACCCTGGTTATAATTTATGAAAAAAAAAAATTTACTTACATAATTGTTTGTTTAGCTTGTTGAAAAATTAAAATATAATATAATATAGATATACATATGTAACATGTATATTTTATTCCTTTATTCCATATATATTTATTTATAGTTATCAGATAGGTACCAGTAGAAAGCAATATAAATTTGCATTTAATTGTTGGTCAAATTGAGGTGTCTAGTCATATAGTTTACTGTTATTTTTGACTAATTAAACCAATAATACAAATTGCCACTGAATTAGAATTAAAATATTTGAACCCTGGTAATTATTTGCTAATAATATTATACATAAATCATTTAATAAAAAAAAATGTATTATTAATTTATTAATTAAATTATTTAATTTATTAAATTTATTAATTTTAGATTGAACTTACCAATATAGTATATAAAAAAAGTTGTCAGCAAAATATGAAATCTAATTACCATACACATAATAATACATATTGCTGATTGGATAAAAGTATATTTTTAATTAAATTCAAATTTTTTAAAATAACACTATCAAAAAATATAATATGCATTGAAATAATTGATATTAACCTTAAATGTATATTTAAAATAACATACTCTAATTTCTCATCTTTCCTCTTTAGACCTACCACCTACTTTTTGCAACCTAATTCGTTCTTTGTTCTCTAGCTGGTCTCTCTCTTTCTTTTCTCCTTTTGGTTCTCACAATACTCGCTCCACCTGTACTGGTCTCCCACAAGGCAGTTGCTTAAGTCCCATTCTTTTTAATATGTACATAAACTTTATCGCCAAACATCTCTCTTCACGTGACCATCAGTTCCTCATCTACGCAGATGACATTGTAATTTTTTCTACCAACAAATCCTTAAATCTCGCTATCGAGACCTTAAACATAGCTCTCATGGATCTTAACGACATACTTAATCGTTCTTTCTGTACAGTCGCCCCTGAAAAATGCAAAACTGTTATCTTTACTCGACGTCGTTATCTAAATCCTCCTAGTATCTTCCTTGATAGTACTATCATACCTTTTGTTCCCGAGGCACAGATATGTATAATAAACTAGATTGCTAACTGATGATAAGATGTGAAGCCATTATCCGCCATTTCATTTGATAGGGGAACGTTGGACCAGTTTTTCTATTATGTCTCTAATATTTTGAGGTTATGTTGAGTGACTCTGAGGATGTGGTTAGGCTTAGTTTTGGAGTATTCTGGTGAAGTGAAGCTTCGTTTGCAAGTTTGTATGCTGTTTCGTTACCAGAAATGCCGATGTGGGACGGGACCCACAAGAAAGTGAATGTTTTATTTGATGTTGTTATTAGTTCCTGGATATGCTGGACTAATTCATTTGTAGAGTAGGGATCAAGGATTGATTTTAAAGCACTTAAAGAGTCGCTGATGATAACGAAAGAGTTCGGAATGGACTCATGTTAATACATGTAAGATCTGGGGATCGAGGTGGCCACTTTATTATACCATTAGTTCCTATCCAACGATTTTCAAAATGTTAATTTAAATAATTCTTCACGACGTTTGCATTGTGTGCCGGGGCTCCATCTTGTTGCAAAATCAAATTGTTTCTTGTTGCGAGAGGAATGTCGTTTAGCATGATCGGTAGCTCATTCATTATAAATTCTAAATACAGTCTTCCATTTAATGTACCGTCGTAGAAATAAGGTCCCGATTTACCTCCAATCAAACCACACCAAACATTTGTTCCCCAGATACATTGATTATTTGTTTCAAAAACCCAATGGGGATTTTGAGTGTCCCAATATCGATTATTTTGTTTATTTATTACTCCGTTGTTGGTAAATTTGGATTTATCTGTCCATAATATGTAATTTAAAATAAAAGGATTGTTTTCTAATTGAGTTACCAACCAAGAAATAAACATAATTCTACGTTTAGCATCACCGTGGCGTAAATGTTGAACTAAATCAGGCCTGTATGGATGAAATTTATGTTTTTTTAAAATTTTATGAACGGTATTAGGAGAAATGCCTATTTCAAAGCCGACATGACGCGTACTAACTCAGGGATTTGCTCTTACGTACGCCAGCACTCGAAACTCAATATCTTCCCTCAATGCATTAACTTGTATAGGTTGTTGGTTGGCTATAATTCTAGTGTTAGAAAAAGAACCAGTAATTCTTAAATTCCTTTCTAACTTATGGAAATAACTGTATGACGGGTGTTGCCTATCTGAATTTAGAAAAACGAAAAATTGTTTTATTATTTTGACCAACACGAAAAATTATTAAAAGTACTAATAAATAATAAATACATACTTGGGTAACGTTCAGCATAAGCACGTGCAGCCAGACGTGAATTTTTTTCACATTCCCAGTAAACAAAAAGCATATCAACTTTTTTTTGAATTATTCATATTTTGTTTAAGTAACAAGCTATTTCAATTATGAAATTATTTATTGTAATTTCACTATTGTTTAATAAACACGCGTGAATTCGTAAAATATGACTAAAGCAAATACGAAACAATAGTAGTTGCACTGGCCTATTTGAAATGAAAACAGTCATTTGATCGTTTTTAAATTACCTAATATTCAGATAAGAACAGATATAAAATGATTTAGAAAACCCGTATCACTTAATGGCCATTTAAAATATCCAATAATAGAAATAAAATTGACATGTTTAAATTGTAATGGAGAGAAGTTTGAACAATTCATAAGATGACGAATAAATGTAATTTTGCAATAATAAAAATGAAATTAATTAACATTGTTTTTTTTTTTTTTAATCACCTGAGATAAACTTACAAAAATAGTTGCTTTAGGGAAAGAGGATGCTTTCCAAAAGTAGGTACTAAAAATATCACTAGAAGATATCATGCGGTGCTAAAAGGATTAACTATTTAAGCCATAAAATTAATGAATAATTCAAAAATGTCAAAAAATAATATCAATCACTGAAATATCCATAACTCAGCTATTTTTTAACATAGGAAGTTGGTTTTACCACTAAAATTCATGAAAATATAAGAGTAAAAATAACTAACCAAAAAATAGTGGAGTTGCCATTTAAAAAAAAAAGCTGTTATGCGCATGCGCGAAATGAAATGGCATAAAAATTGTTTAATTACTTTAATAAGTTATAACAAACTTTGTTAAGCACCACAAACAAACAGAATTCAAGTATCTTTAATATTTGTTAAGTTATAGAGTGTTTCTAACAACCGATTACACACTGTATATCAACGACCAATATAGTTAATAATAATAATATAATATAGTTAATGGTTATATGTAAGGTAAATTATAAATGCAATTATTATATTATAAATTAATTTGTTTTTACTGCATTTCAATAATGTATATAATAATTTACGATATCTGTTTCTATTTACAGACATTTCATCTATTACTATTTTTATTTTTTTTTATTTGATATTGTTCTTCAGTTATTCAAGCCGGATCTTGTATTTGTAAACCTCTCGGAACTCAAGGATCTACAATTTCAGGTAACATGCAATCCATGTAGAAAGATGTTAATTTTGGAAGCATCTTATTTGTCCAAATATATTTATCTCTGTTGATATGCTGAACATATAACTCATTTCCCATACTAAATAAAAGAAATATACATATTGATTTTTTTGATATATTTAGTTGGCCTTGAATTTGCCAATAAAATTTGTGGTTTTTTTAAGTTGAAGTTGACCCGTTTCTGTAAGTTCTAAACAAAACTGTAACTTTTTGTCTTGAGCTGTGTAATGTTTGTAACACTGCAATGAGCAACTGTGGTATCATTGTATGTGATCAGTAATTTAATAAAAACTGTTTTTTACTTCACTCTTGTAACATTGTTATGTATAAAAACAAAGGTGATCACATATGACTAAAGAAATGACATATGGTGTTGAAATGGAACGTCTTGCCAGAAATAAATATGAAGAATTATATGGTGTTTCAGTTGAAGCATGTGGATTGTTTACTGACATAGAATTCCCTTTTCTAGCTGCAAGTCCTGGTAATAGTTGGTATTATTTATTTTAGTTATAATTTTATCAACTATTATGCTTTTTTTTAGATAGTCTAATTGACGAAAATTGTATTATAGAAATAAAATGCCCATATGTAACAAGAGAAACCAATACAATCCTTGAAGCCATAGAAAATAAACTAGTAAGAATAATTACTCTTAGTAAATTTCATATTATAACTAATAAAAATGTTATACTCCTACAATTACCACTTGTTCGTTTTTAATATTTAGTTACAGTGCTGCACAGTCGAAAATAATGTTGTAGAACTAAAAAAGGACCATAAATACTATTTCCAAGTTATAGGGCAATTGCGAATAACTAATCGTACTATATGTCATTTTGTAATTTTTACTCCAAACTGGATAAACGTTCAAAAAATCGAATTTGATGAGATATTTTGGAAAACAAAAATGGAGGAAAAATTGAAAACGTAAATATTACTTACTATGATAATGGATAAGATAAAAAAAAAAAAAAACATTAATTTTAATATTTAAATGTGATATTTAGGTTTTATTTGGATTGTCTATTACCCGAAATTGCATGTCCACTTTATGGAAAACGCCTAGAATTAACTGACATCAGAGAACCCAGATACATTTTAAATGAAAAAGAAAAAAGAAAAAACCAAAAGATAAAAAACGGAATTAGCACGGCTTATATAATAGTATAGCTTATAATATAATTCAATATATATTACTATTTATTTAATTTTTAGATTTTTTTACATACCTATGTCCTATAGTATGCTTACACTCTACAATTCTACCTAGTCTATAACATTATAATGACCAAACAGTATAGTGAATACGTGCAGATATTACAAATATTGCAAAATAATTATTTACATGCAGTAGACATTTATATCGACGCAGTATATACATTATTATCAATAATAATTCGATAACTGTGAGTCAATATATTATGTTGTATTACCGTTTTTACTATCTATAATAATGTATTGCTACATAAATTTATTTAAGTAGTAACTTTTAATAAAAAAAGTATAAAAATATATAAAATATAATATAATATAATATATATTAGGTATTAATATAATTTTAATTAATTATACCTATATTTGATTTTTTTTAAACAAAAAGTAATATGTATCTACTCCAAAAGAATTTACGAATGTGTCGGCGCGGCAAGTGCCCAACAATAATAGAGGGCTGGCTTGTTCGCCTTAATAATTATTGAAGGACTGGTATTAAAAATAAGTATAATTAAAACAAATAAATAAAGATTGGTGTGAATAAGTGGACTGTGTAATGTAAATAATGAAAAAGGGTAATATAAATATAACTAATGACAATTAATAATTTTCTGATAATAATGTATAAATGCAAATTAAACAAATAGTAACTAACTGAACTAAATAAATGAAATGTGTGGACCACACGGCACACACCAAATAAATAATATAAATATAAGCGATGAAAAATAATATAAATAAATACAATAAATAATTCAATAATTGACCCAACACGGCTCGCAAATAATAAGAAATAAAATGCGTGACCCACATGGCACACACGAAATAAGAATTTTATAATAATTTGCCTACGACGGCATACCGCAGTGATACAATAAATATGTGCCTATGGCGGCAATACAAGAGCTCTATATATATAATAATAAATAACGTGCCTACGACGGCTAGGCCCGTCGGCCTTTAAACACAAATGAACAAATATGGTCGACCAATACTCACTTGTGACTATGTTGAAATGGCTGATTCCATCCACGCGACCGCACCAACCCTGTGATTAAACAATTGTCTATGACGGCACACCGCAGTGTATCAATAAAAAATAAATCACAGAATTGGTACGTGCGACCACTCAAGCACAGTCACCAACGAAGATAAAAGCCGTTCTGCAGCCCGAACGATGACACAAATGACAAAACCACGTTATTCACAAGGCGACCGCTGGTATACTATAAACAATGAAAAATTATAACGCTGGACAATATCTGATTGCCTCGAACGATACTTTACCAGACGGTCGAATCACAAAACAAAAAGGAGTGACGAAAACGTGGTTTCACTAGACAATTGACTGCAGACACGGGAACACGGATACAATAAAGTTGATGTGTACAACACGACGACCAAAAAACGAGAGCGAGATGGGTCCGACGACATTCACCACGAAGGCTAAGGCCGCCGGACACCACAACGAAGATAAATGTCTCAGTGCCACCACACTAAACCAAAAATACACGAGAACTTACGAAACTTTGGCACTGAGAACATGACTTTTACTTTTACAAAAACATAACCGACAATATGAAGAAAACGTGGAATAACGGGCATTTACGCGCGACGATAACAGCGCGATTACGTGCCCGGCCGGTCGCACACGGAGGCTTATCACCACCGCCGACGATGGCTGCGGACACGCAACGCACCGCTACACATCGCACGAAAATGTTAACACAATACAGACGAATTACAACACGTTACAATTTATTTTGCGGCTTATGGCGCGAACAGAATGATTACAATAGCTAATATTGTAGTTTTTTTATTTAATTATACTTGAAAAAGTAATTATTCAATAAATACAAATCAAGCTTTGTTATAATATAGTTTATATGATCTATATAATGTTACATATATTAAGGTAAGCAGTGACTTAAATTGTAATCAGTAGATCATGGGTACGCTTGGACATAAAATAATACGGCGGCATTTACGTGTATGCATTTTATATTTACGCAATCTGCCACAGACGAAGGTTGAGAAAATAATAAGCGTCGCTTCCGAATGAGCACAATCATCGGCCGGCCGCTGACGACGAGTGGTGGACGCGGCTTAAACGTCGCGTGCTTGCGCATCGTGAAAACACCTAACAGCGCGTTCTCTCGGTCGTTGTATGCGTTTTGTTTTCGGTGTGGCGTCCTCTTAAGCATTTCCCAGAACTACAATTAAGTAATAAAATTTCTAAACAGTCTTGTAACAATTCTTCACTACTATCTCTTAATGCTGAAAATGTTCAAAGAAATAATCTTTTACCAAAAATAAAAATGCTGAAATTCCATTTAATTTTGAAATATTTAGTGAAGCAGCAGTAGAACTGGTTGTTCATTTACATAGTGACAATAATTATTTTAAAATTTCGCTTTGAGGCTAAACACAAGGAATTGAAAATGTATGCTAGAGTAACAACTTCCAGAAAAAATATAACATTGACGTTAGCTAAAAAATTTCAGTTTAAATTTGCTCAAAATTTAATGGAATCAGATAAAAACATTATTTTTAAAGATAAACATAGGATTATTAGTAGAGACACTGAAATTATTGACAATAAACTTAATCTATCTTCATCACAGTATATTTGTTATACTGAGTCAATATGTAATGGAATTTTATACAAAGAAGGTTATTATCTAACCAAAAGTTGTAATGAAACATGTTTATTTAAAATCAGTGAAATTATATTTATTAATCAGCCAGAAATTATGGTTTATATTTTGGTTCAAGAAATAAGATTGAATGAGTTTAGTTCACATTATGAATCTTTTAATGTGAGTGTTAGTGAAGAAGTGATAAATTGTTGTTTTATATGTGATATTAATGAATTTGATGGACCTCCCATAAATGTCACAACTATTTCATCTGGTAAAAAAATGATACGTTTAAAACAATTTAATTAATTTGATAATATTATTTTCATTTTATCATAAAAATATTTTATTATCTAAATGGGAGTATTAATTTTTTATTGTTAACATATTTATCATGTACTTATTGTTCCTATTTAAAAACTTGATTAATACTTTATTTGTACATTTTTGGTTTTAATTGCAGATTTGTATTGCAATTTTTCATATAATACTTGGTACAATAATTTAAGTTAATAATTCAGATGGAGGATTATACTCCTAATGCATCATATTTAAATATAGGAGAATCTTCTACTTCTGTAAGTAGTTATAATAAATTTAACTTTTTAAGACTGTAATTTTATAAATTTAAACTTGACTTCATTGTTTACTATTTTATCAAAATACGTTAGGAATCTCTTGGAGTGCATGAACCATTTGATGAAGATTTATATACTAGTCCAATTAATGAAAGTACTTGCAGTGTTGTATCAGATTATAATTACCCAGTTGAAGATTTGCTAAAAATGCAAAACTTATTTGATTCATGGGAATTAAAATGTGTTTATCAAACATGTGTTGGTAAGAAAATTGCTATAAACTATAGTGTATGACTTATAATAATAAATTATAAAGATAATTATTATTAATATACTATATTAGGTTAAATTCTTAATCACTGTTTATTATTTTTCCTATTTTTACATAAAATGCATTATTAACTTACTTACCTATTGATTTATAGTTAATTCTATATTGTTTATTTATGCTGTATACATTTTATAATACATATATTAATTATTTATTAATGTGCCATGTGTGAGCCACATATTTATTTATTATTATTTATTAGCTGTGCCCCTGTTGGGCCAGCGTTATTATTATTTGTTTGCTTGTTTATATTATCTATTGTCACAATTTCTTATATATTGCAATTTATTCTCTGTTAAGTCAATCAAGCCATTTATTTTATTTATTATACAGTCCATTTATTTATATTTGTTCCTTTATTTATTTATAGTTTATAACCAGCTAAAAGGTGAACAAGCTAGCCTGCCTAAAGTTGGTAGGCACTTGATAAGTGACCCAACCATGATATTCTGTTTGACAGTAAAAATTTGATTTGATAATTTTGGTTTTTCATTTTTGGAGCCAACATTTTTAAATATTTATTAATCTTATCGTTAATACAAAATAATTATGATGATAAACAAATAGCGTTTCCCGGGACTGATTTCTCTACCAAACTATCCGAACAAATTTTTCGTTGAGTTAGTCTAGAAGCTCTGACCGGTTTCACGTCATTTGGTGACGTGAACTTCCAACTTAATCGCGTAAGCAAAAAGAGCGCAAAGTAAAAAGTAAAAATACAATCTAGTTAAAAAACCATAATTTCTAATTATTATTTAATCAACATGTTGTTACGTCTTAGAATTTGAGATTAGTGATGGGTCGTTCCTGAACGAATCTTTCCAAATGAACGAGTCCAGTAGAGGAACGATTAGGAACGATTCCACCCGAACGTTCCTATTCGTTCCTTCGTTCCATTTCGTTCCTATGTTCCAATGGTAAAATGTACCAAAAGTGCATAGTATAATTGTTGTACTAGTAAGTTGTCCATTATAATTAGGAATATTCGAAAATTAGATTGTAGATAACATTTTATCACGGACCAAGATAATGATTCATATTCTTACTCCGTGTATTTTATATTCTTATCATGGCTATAGATTATTTTTAGCCGTGATTCTTATAATTTATTGAAAATCAAAATTGAAATCGATAGTTAATAGTTATTCACAATTGACTAGTTGAACAAGAACGAGAGTAAATAAGTAAAATATATGGATAGGTGCATCAAAAAAATATCGATATTATACCATCGATCATTCATTTCACTATCGTTTACCTAAACTAGCATAAAATAAATCATAATTAAAAATTAATAATAATAATATAGATATTTAATTACGTTTTCTTCTATGACCTATTTATACCGAGTTGGCTATCTAAAGAAGTTCATTTAATTACAATACACATATTTTATATTTATAGAAACGTTATAATATTTTGCTTAAGGCATAACAAATGAAAACTAATAAACATTAATAATATTAGAATGTATTAATAAAATATCTATTATTTTGTCTTTTATTATATTGTTATGTTCTTAAATTAGTTGAGCCTACACTCTACACTTCTACAGTTGTACAGTTTATTTTTCAATCGCGGTGTCTATGTGCATAAAATTATTAATATTACATTTATAAGACATTTTGTCAATGTTAGTTGATTAAACGACAAAATAGTAAGTTACATTTAATTTA